GCCAATAGGAGGGCTAAGAGGGGGAAGATATTTTGCTCCATTAATGATAAACTTGTATGGCAAGAAAGTGGTGGTCAAGTGGTGGTTCAAACGGTAGTGCACGGTACACGTCGGTGTGACGCGTTTTCTCTTAAATCGCACGTACTAGGGTTTTTACTTCCAATTCACTAACTTTTTATCATTGCTTCTAACCACATATTATTTCTCACTTAAAAGTCACTCTTAAGCACCAAATTTGATCCTTACTCGGTACCGGATAATTATACTGCGGTTACACGAAAAATCCGATTTCACCTTGAATTGAAAACGAATAGGAAAACCCTAATTTCCTATGGTCATTGGCACTTTTCTAGGGTGATTGAACCATGGATAACATGAAATAATAATTTTCAAATAATTTTCAAATAAAAGGGAATTTTTGAGAAATATGTAAGGATTTTGCGAGTCCTCACAATTTCCTATTTTAAACTCCTATTACAAGCTTATTTAAATATTTAAATGCCCGTTTACTCCGAATATTATTTTCTAACTTTTTTAGACCTAAATACATGGATCTATAGCTTAATTATATTTTAAAAATAACTTGATTCGAAAATTTATTTTTGGAAGCTCGTTTAGAGTGAATAGTGGATACGTGTTTGGAGATAATAACTGATTTGACAGTACACTAAACTTGAAAAATTGGAGACTTATATATTAGTTCTGAAATATGTATTTTTATGTTTAAATATTCAAATGTTAATTAGTTATACTATCGTGATAAGAATTTCTTAGAAGTTGCACTTTATCGCGCTTAAATCGGTAGTACGCGTTTTTACGCGCGCGATTAATTGAGAGACTTTAAACCATTATTTTTAGACTATTAAGGGTGAATAATAATAATATGATTGAAAATGCATTAGAGATTTAGTGCACTAGTGAAACAAACACGAGAGGAATTGAGTGCGAAACGTGCGCGAACGCGCACTATTGAAGAGTTGACTTTAAGACACTTTTGGGCCACACATTTGAGCTTCCTTGAGAAGCTTTATCATCAGCAAAAATTCCCTCCTTTTTGCTCCAAGAAGAAGAAAAAGAGACCAAAAGCTCTTCATTTTCTTGCTCATTCCTCCACCATTTCACCTCAAAATTTAACCACACCTCACTAAACACTTGGTGATCATCTTAAACTGTAAAAGGGGGCTGCTTTGGACGGTTTTCTTGTACATTTTTGGACTGAAATTTTGCCTTAGGTTCATCCAAGCAAGTAAGTGACGATCCACCTTGAAAATCTTGATTTATGGAAGTACTATTGCACTTATAAACTTGTATATTCGTGTGGGTAACTTTATTTATGATAGAAAGTGTTGTGTGGGTTCTATGAACTCCCACTATGGTTGGATGGACTGATTTGTTGTGTTTTGATGGTATTAATGTTGGTTTAGTGCTTAAACTAGTGGAATAATGTTGTATTGTTGGTAGAAACTCAAAGGGGAGTGAAAGTGAAAAATTTTCAATTCTGCCCCTATGTTGTCCGTGAACCTTAGGGTAATTTTTCGTGATTCTAATGGCTTATTTATGATGTATATATGTTGTGTAGATTGTGTAAAAAGTTTCATAAAAAAAATAGCGTGATTTGGTTGGGCAAACGTTGTGATTTCGGAAGTTCGGCAAATCTGGAAATTTTCCCGTCACTGCCTTGGCAGTGTTTTTCAAACGGTCATAGCTTTTTACTCCGATGTCAAAATCGAGTACCGTTTGCGGTAATGCAAACTAGACATTCCCAACTTTCCAACGGTATAAAATTCATATTCTGATTCTACCTGAATGAACCATACCAATCGTTTGAACTTGACTGTCCCTTTTCACTGGCTCACTGGAAGGCAGAACAGGAGCTGCAACTTCATGCTCAAATTTGGGCTAGTTGTGGACAGATTCTAGGAACAATTTCTTCTGAGCAATTTCACCGCCACCAACCACGTTCAATTCCGAGTTGAATTGAATTGAGTGAGCTGGCGAGAGTTGGGCAGGCGTCCCGCGGATATCCTTGGATTCGCCCTTGAGAGAAGTGGGGGCGTCACAGATTTGGAATTGCTACCTGGACAACGTGCTTGTATGTGTGTTTCTTGGCCTCACGAGCGATTGCTCACCCCGTAGATTTGTTTTCCTTAACAGAATTAGACTTGGCGTAAGACTCAAAGAAACCTATGGGATGTACTTTTGTTTTAGGGTTTCAATGTATTTGACTAGACCTCTTAGTTGTGTATATTTTGGAACTGATATAGCTTTTGATAATTCGATGTAAGGACTGGATGGTTGTTATATATTGTTAAATTTGATCGTTTCCGCACTTTCTTATTTTACTTCATGGTGATGACTAGTATTGTATTAAGCTTGAATTAAAATTGTACCGAATCCTGGCAAGAGTTGGACAAACGTTCCGTGGATACCCTTTGGTTCGCCTTAAGAAGAAATGGGGGCGTCACAGTTGGTATCAGAGCGCTAGGTTAGAGATCTATTTCGGAGTTATACCAGAAACCTTACCTTTAAGATTTGAGATAGGATGACTAAATCACACTTTAAATAATACTTGGGCAAATTAGTGACTAAGTTTGTCATGCCTTAAGTGACATTTGTGCGAGCTAGTGAATAAGTTTCTAATTCGAAAAGTGTGATTGTTTTGCAAGGATGGATAATGGAAACAGGACTCCGGCAGCTAATGGGAATGGTCATGCTAATGGTCACATAGAACTTCCTAGGCCTATTTACTACCGAGCTCTTGGTGGAGGGACTCGACTGTGCTACTCGCCCTCTGATAAATACCCTCGCTGTTCGTGTAGATTGACTTTTGCTTACCCGAACCACCTTGTGCTAGCCTTGGATGACGAGCGTCGTCAGTTGGTGAATGCCAACTTAGATTTACAGGCGGAGGTAGACGAGTTGAGACAGATGATTCGTGCTTAGGGAGAGAGGATTACGGAACTTAAGGAGGTACTGGAGGGCGAGGTGGCTACTGCTGCGGTTACTCGTGAGAAGCTTCAGAGGACTAGGGCTCGACTCACTAGGTTAGGTGAAGAGATCCGTGATCGGGTTACCAAGATCCTGGACGATGCCACAGAGATGATAGATGGGGTGGTGGATATTGTCCAGAGTTCAGATCCTGAGGAGGAGATTCCCCCTGGTAGTCCTACTGTGGATTAGGTTTAGACTGATTGACCTTTTGACCCTTTTGACCTTTTTGACTGGTATAGTTAGGATTAGTTGGGATGATGCGAGTGCTAAGGCCATTGTATTTTGCATGACTGTGTGGTCTACTTTTGAGGCACTTGATTTTACTTTAGTCTTACATGACTGAAAGCACTCTTGTGGCACCTGTGTGCTATAGTTTTGTGATTTTCCCCATGACTTACTAATTGTATGGATCTTAACATGCTAATGAATGTAAATTATTATATTTCCACTGTCTTCTTGATTAGTTCTTGCTTTCGACATTTTTTCCGCATAATTAATTTATCTCTTGCACTAGGCACGCCTAAGATAATGGAAGGACGAAGAAGTGGTCGAGACCGTGGACGAGGGACTAGACAGGCCCAACCTCATGGGGATGATCAGGAATCGGCAACTGGACCGACCCAGGGACAAGAAAATATTGAGGGTAATCAAATGGCTACTGCCATTAATAGGATGACTGATATCTTAGAGCGTTTGGCTGATAGATAAGGTCCGTCCTTGACCACTTTACCAACCTGGGGGATAGGATAGAGGAGAGAATAGAGCCTTAGAAAGGTTTTTGAAGTTTAATCCACCTAAATTTATTGGGGAACCCGATCCTGAGGTAGCGAAGAATTGGTTGGAGAGAATGACCAATATATTCGCCGTCTTAGACTATACCGAGAATAGGTGAGTGAATTTTGTTGCCTTTCAATTTGAGGGAGTGGTACGTGTTTGGTGGGATATTATAAAGGAAAAGTGGGAGAGAACTCAAACCCCTTGGACTTGGGAGAATTTTTCTAGGGAATTCAATGAAAAATTTCTTCCTCCTTTAATTCAAGAAAATATGGAGGATGAATTTATCAAGTTGAAACAAGGGACCCTTAGTGTAGCAGAGTATGAAGGAAAATTTACTAAATTTTCTAAATATGCCCCTGAATTGGTGACCAATGAACGGAAAAGGATAAGGCGGTTTGTATAAGGATTTAATGTGAAAATCCAGGAGAGTTTGACCGCAGCCCAAATCTTTATATTTACTGAGACTTTAGAGAAAGTACAAAGGGTTGAAAGTGCAAGAATGCAAGTAAGGGACTTTCACAATAGGAAGAGGAACTTTTCTAGTCGTACTTCTGGACAGACTAATAAGGGTGCACAGCCTTTCAAAATGGGAAGAGTAATGGGAGGAATAAGAACTGCTAGAATTTCAAGGGGAGCTTTATCTAGAGGAGGTTGTAGTGGGCCAGTTCAAGCTAAGGGAATGCCTTCTAGTGGTTTGGTCGTAACACCTCAAGTTACTTGTGGGTACTGTGGTAAATCCAACTATTCTGAGAATGATTGTTAGAGAAAGTCTGGGGTGTTTGGTTTATAGAAGTACCGAGCACCAACTTGTGAACTGTCCAAGTAAAATGAAAATAGGAGGTAGCACTCAAACGTCAGAAAAATCAACCTTTAAGCAGACCAGTGCTGGAGAAAGTCGACCAAAGGTACCGGTTAGGGTTTATGCATTGGACCATCAGTAAATACCCGATGCAACTGAGGTGGTTGAAGGTACGATTCCTATCTTTCACCGCTTAACTAGGGTTTTAATTGATTCATGTGCGACATATTCCTTTGTAAACCCTAATTTCATGGACGGAATATATTTGAAGTCATTTAAGTTACCTTATGATTTGGAGGTTAGAACGTCTACTGGGAATCAAAGTCTAATTGCTAACTTGGTATATAGGGATTGTGAGATCTGGATTAGAGAATGAAAATTAATGGCCGATCTGATAGGTTTAGCGATTAAGGGATATGATATGATCCTAGGAATGGAGTGGTTAGCCCGTTATAATATCCAGTTGAACTGTAAGACGAAAATAGTAGAATTGTGCATTCCGGAAGAGACAACTTTGAAATTGGATGTAAGGAGTAGATTAGCCTCATCTGCATTTATGTCAGGGATTCGAGATAGGAAAATATTAAGTAAAGGGATTCAGAGAATCAACACTCCTAGTGATAAGGTGAGATTGGAAGATATTCCTGTAGTGAAAGAATTCCCAGATGTCTTTCCTGAAGAGTTAGAATCTTTACCCCCAGAAAAGGACATAGTTTTTAAGATTGATGTGATTCTGGGAATAGCATCTATCTCTAAAACGCCATATCGGATGGCTCCAGCCGAATTAAAGGAATTGAAATTACAACTACAGGACTTGTTGGAACAGGGTTTTATAAAAGAAAGTGACTCATCGTGGGGAGCTCTGGTTTTGTTTGTTAAAAAACAAGATGGGAGTTTAAGGTTGTGTATAGACTACCGAGACTTGAATGATGTCGCTATTAAGAATAAATACCCGTTACCCCACATCGATGAATTATTTGACCAATTGCAAGGGGCGGTAGTGTTCTCCAAGTTGGATTTGAGACAAGGTTTTGTAAGGATCGAAGACAACCAAGTGGAAGAGATAAACAATGTAAAGATCATAAACGTAACAATAAGTAAATAAAAAGGAAAGAATTGCAAACCGATTAACTACCCAACTCCTCTTGAGCTTGTAGATAAATTAAAACAAGTTTTTTCAAGTTGATGAATTACAATCACTTTTGTGTGCAAAGGAAGGTTCACCTCCTCCTTGTCCCGAATTCCACTCGGTCAAGTTAGGACGTTTTACTATCTCTCAGGACAACCCTCACAGAGCTACACTCATGAAGTATTCACTCACAAATGAAAAGCTTACAATGAACCTCACACCACTAAGATTATAAATCTTCCTTGAAGAGTATTTTCTCACTAAAATCATTCTAAATATTTTGTATCTTCAGTGTCTCAAAGCTGTTTGAAGTATCTGACTAACCACTATTTATATAGGACCAAAAAAGTGCCATATTAATGTTTTAACGGATAGAAAGTAGCTGAAGAGTCAACTAGCCGTTGAAGTATCGGACGTCCAGTACTCTTGTTTTTTGAATCCGACAGCAGGCAGTGAGTTTGAGAAATTTTCTTCAATTCTATCGGACGTCCGGTGCAAGCTCTTTGTGCGTCCGACAGCAAACAAAGAGATTTGAGAAATCATCTTGTTTCTATCGGACGTCCGATACTTTCGTCCGATCGAGGTCAGTGATCCAGGGGGAATGTCTTATTTCCTTCGGACGTCCGGTGGTGGAGTTCTTCATGCATTCGAAGTTACACAATGATTATCGGACGTTCGATCCAAGCGTCCGACAGCTTTCAGCAGCCTTTGTCCCTTTCAATTGCACTTGATCTTTGAATCTGATTTGGTTCACAACTGAAAATATTTCTTGAAGAGATATTAGAATTATCCATTGTTTTGTAAACATCAAAAGTTAGGGACCAAAGTCAACATTCTCCCTCTTTTTGATAATAACAAAACAATGGATGGAAGAAAGAAAAAAATTTTGCATATGAGTAAAAACTCCCCCTCACTTATTGCATCAAAAATTTTATAAATTCAGAACAACTCCCCCTTTCACATAGCATCCATTTTTCCCCCTTTTTTGTCATCATAAAACTTTAGTAATATTCAAAAATATTAAGGAAAACTCAGTTCAAAATATCAGAAATATCAAAAGAAAATTATAAAAAAACATTGAACAAGAATCTCATCAATCTTATCATATCTCCTATTTGTTAGAGTTAGCATCATGTCTAACTATCCACATGCATTTCATGCCTCTTCTCATATTATTTCTCACATAACAATCACTTTTCATATGACTTTTTGACAACAAAAATTACACATAACCAATGAATTATTTATATGAACAGATTTAATAAATTTTACTTGTTTTCTCCTATAAATAGCAAATTCATTTGCAGCAGAATTTATTTTCTTCTCATAAGTGCCAAATGAGGTTTTGATTTATTATTTTGAAAACAGTCTTGTTTTTTATATTGAAGCAACTCATTTAAATTATCCATTTTTTTTTCAAATCACCTTGTTTCTTTTTGAACATTTCACAAAGTCTTATTTTTCTATCAAACTCAAAGTGTAAAACAGTCTCACTCTTTTTTAAAAAATCACTTTCAGTTTTCAATTTTTTATTTTCTTGAAAAAGACGTGCATTGTCCTGAAGAAGAAAACTAATTTGATGTTTTAATTCCTTATTTTTAGCATAAGATTCTTTCAAACTATCATGCAATTTTATAATGAAATATTCAAGATCATCATCAGTTTCATCATCACTTTCAAATTGAGAGTTACAAGTTGTTATCTCATCATCTTCAATGGTCATGAAAGCTAATTGAGCAGATTCTTCTTCCTCATCAATTTCACCATCGGAGTTGCACTCATTTCATGTGAACTGAAAATTGTTGAACCTTGGCTTTCGTTCAACTTTGCTCTCCTTCTTCCTTTTTGTTGGACACTCATTTGCATAATTTTCAGGTTGGCCGCATTCAAAACACTTATCAGTTTGCTTTTTGTTAAATTCTAGTTTCCCTTTATTTCTCAAGTTGTTGGATTAATTCTGGAAGGAATTGCTCGGGGCACCTTTTCTGAATCTCCTCTTGTTGAGTATTTTTTTGAAGTCTCTTGTGATGAGTGCATTGTCACTGTCATCACCTTTCATGTCTTCTCCATCCAGGGAGACCGTATCCTCTTCATCTTGTGAAGCTTTCAAAACAATACTCCTCCTCATCTTTGTGTCTTCTTCTTCCTGCACCTTGGATTTTAGTTTCAACTCATAAGAGGTTAGAGAGTTAATATGAGATTCAATAGATAGGGTATTCAGATCTTTAGCTTCTTTTATGGCAGTCACCTTGCTCTCCCAATCCTTTGATAAGGCATTCAGAATTTTTCTGTTTTTTTCACATAGAGAGTAATTTTTCTCAAGCACTTCTAGATCCTTGATAAGATCATTGAATCTGCAGTACATCTTATCAATGTTTTCATGAGGTTCCATCATAAAGATTCATACTTAGTAATCAGGATTGACTTCTTTGCTCTCTCATATTCTCGCTTCGTTTATGGATTTCTCTAAGTTTATCCCAAATTTCTTTCACAGATCTGCAGCCTTTGACTCTAATGGACTCATTTGAATCTAGAACACTATATAATACATTCATAACCTTGGCATTTAGAGTAAGATGAGTTCTATTTTCAGCAGTCAATTCACTTCTTGTTTTCGATTTCGGCCTATGGGTATCATCATCAATAATAGAGGCATCATATGGACCATCGTTAACAATAAATCATAACTCAATATCGATAGATTGTAAAAAAATGATCATCCTCTCCTTCCAACTCACATAGTTTGACCCATTGAACATAGGAGGTCTGGTGACATATTGTCCCTCAAAGAACATGACATTGTTGGTTGTCATATTTACTCCCAAACCGATTGAATTTAATCTCTAGGAGACCAAACTCTGATACCAATTGTAAGGCCCGAAAACAACCAATAAGACAATTAATAAGAAAGTAAGACTAATTGGGAGTAGAAAAAATAATCAATTTAAAGAATACAAACGTAACAATAAGTAAATAAAAAGGAAAGAATTGCAAACCGATTAACTACCCAACTCCTCTTGAGCTTGTAGATAAATTGAAACAAACTTTTTCAAGTTAATGAATTACAATCACTCTTGTGTACAAAGGAAAGTTCACCTCCTCATTGCCCCGAATTCTACTCGGTCAAGTTAGGACGTTTTACTATCCCTCAGGACAACCCTCACAGAGCTACACTCATGAAGTATTCACTCACAAATGAAAAATTTACAATGAACCTCACATCAGTAAGACTACAAATCTTCCTTGAAGAGTATTTTCTCACTAAAATCACTCTAGATCTTTTGTATCTTCAGTGTGTCAAAATTGTTTAAAGTATCTAACCAACCACTATTTATATAGGACTAAAAAAGTGCCACATTAATGCTTCTAACGGATAGAAAGTAGTTGAAGAGTCAACTAGCCGTTGGAGTATCGGACGTCCGGTACTCTTGTTTTTTGCTTCCGACAGCAGGCAGTGAGTTTGAGAAATTTTCTTCAATTCTATCGGACGTCCGGTGCAAGCTTTTTGTGCGTCCGACAGCAAACAAAGAGATTTGAGAAATTATTTTGTTTCTATCGGACGTCCGATACTTTCGTCCGATCGAGGTCAGTGATCCAGGGGGAATGTCTTATTTCCTTCGGACATCCAGTGGTGGAGTTCTTCATGCGTCTGAAGTTACGCAATGATTATCGGACGTCCGATCCAAGCGTCCGACAGCTTTCAGCAGCTTTTGTCCCTTTCAATTACATTTGATCTTAGAATCTGATTTGGTTCACAACTGAAAATATTTCTTGAAGAGATATTAGAATTATCCATTGTTTTGTAAATATCAAAAACTAGGGACCAAGGTCAACAAGGTTATTATCAATTGAGAATTTTGGATAAAGATATACCTAAGACTGCTTTTAACTCGAGTTATGGGCACTTTGACTTTGCCGTGATGCTATTTGGATTGACCAATGCACCTGCTGCTTTTATGAATTTGATGCACAGGATTTTTAAGTCTTATCTGGACCAATTTGTGGTGGTGTTTATCGATGATATTTTGGTGTACTCAAAAAATGTCAAGGATCACGAGAAGCACTTGAAAATTATTTTGCAAATCCTGAGAGAACATCAACTGTATGCTAAGTTTAGCAAGTATGAGTTTTGGTTGAAAAAAATAACATTCTTGGGACACATAATTTCTAAAGATGGGATAAAAGTGGATCCAACTAAAGTTGAAACTATTTCAAAGTGGAAACGACCGAGAAACCCTACTGAGCTTTGAAGTTTTATAGGGTTAGTAGCGTATTACCGGAAATTCATTAAGGATTTTTCTAGAATTGTTGGATCCATGATTGAGTTGATCAAGAAAAGTGAAAAATTTATATGGAGTCCTAAGTGTGAGGACAGTTTCCAAGAGTTAAAGAGACGTTTAACAAGAGCGCCTGTGTTAGCTCTACCGAATGGGAAAGATAGCTTTGTGGTCTACATAGATGCTTCTAAGGAAGGTTTAGGATGTGTTTTAATGCAAAATGACAAAATAATAGCATATACCTCTAAGAAATTGAAACCGCATGAAGGAAATTACCCGACTCATGACTTGGAGTTAGCGGCTGTGATATTTGCTTTGAAGAAATGGAGATATTACCTGTATGAAATGACATTTAAGATTTTTACTGACCACAAAAACTTTATGTATTTGTTTTCCCAAAAGGAGCTGAATTTAAGGCAACGTAGGTGGATGAAATTTTTGAAGGATTATGATTGCACGATAAAATACCATCCAGGGAAGGCTAATGTAGTGGCCGATACTTTAAGTCGTCAAGTGCAAGTGGTTGGATTGATGATTAAGAAATTTCACTTGTTAGAAGAAGTTAGTTATTGAAATCCTAAACTTGAGCCGAGAAAAGTAATTTTTGGAAATATTGCAGTAAATTCCACTTTGTTGGAACGTATTAAAGAGACTCAGGAAAAGGACCCTGGAATGCAAAAGTGGAAGGAGAAAGTCAAAAAGGGAGAAAAGTCAAATTTTAACTTGGGGTTGAATGGTATATTGAGGTTTCGGGATCGAATAGTAGTGTCAAATGATGAAGAGCTTAAGAAAAAAGTCTTGGAAGAGGCACACCGATTGAAATTTACGGTACATCTTAGAGGAAATAAAATGTACCAAAACTTGAAGAGTGTGTACTGGTGGGAAAGCATGAAGAAGAAAATTGCCTAATTTGTCCAGACCTGTTTAATTTGCCAACAGGTTAAGGCTGAACATCAGAAATCGTCCGGATTTTTGCAACTTTTAGAGATACCACAGTGAAAATGGGAGAATATCACTATGGATTTTGTATCAG